TCCGGAAAACCAAAAATCCGGAAAATAAAAAACCCGGAAAAGAAAAATCCGGAAAAAACTCCAATATCCTTATAACGAAGGAGAAAGCATAGTAGTCTTTCATAAACCCTTCCTATTGTCTTCGTCCATCATGATCATCGTCCGCCGGGTACCATCCTTCTTCATTCTGCTCTGCACTTCTATAATTACACCTAGATGGATGCGCCGTGGCGCTGAACACGCCACCGATTGTTAGATTATCGCACACGTATAAATACACTGTCGTTCCTCTTATCAACAAACGAATGAACAGGTGTCGTCCGAACATGTGGGCCTTCGTCACTTGTCTGCAAAACGAAGAAGTACATTTTCGGCAGCAAGTGCTCAAGGTGTTAACGGGTGCGCAAAAAATGAAGACGAAGAAGACTTTGGCTTTACAAGCTAAAATCAACACTCTTGTGAAACGTTTCGAGGACGATGAGATCGACTGCGCCGAACATCTCGAGAGGCTCTCTTTATTGGTGGCTAGTAAAAAGTGAAGTACATCCCTCTCGTCATATCAAATGATTTCTCTTCTTTATTGTACATGTTTCTTTGTTAAATAAACTGTTGAATCTTTCTACAGAATTTTTCCCGATTTTATCTTTTCCGGATTTTTTTCCAGTTTTTTTCCGGATTTTTTCCCGGATTTTTTCCTCCGAATTTTTTCTTCCGGATTTTTTTTTCCGAATTTCGGGACAATACCATGTCAGTTATATACACTCGTTACTTTTTGAGAGAAATTTAAAAAAGACAATCTCTCTTTACATTTTCTTAAACGAAATCCTATGTTTTTTATTGTGTAGTTTGACAAAGATCATTCGTTGAGACTTTATTTACCAGAGCTTTCTTTTCAAAATCTGTTTGTATTGGTGATTTCAAAGGCATAACATCATCATTTTTGCCTGCTATACTATTGATATTTGGTGATGATCGTTTTTGTTGATATTCGGTTTGAGTATTTATCTTTAGAGAAAAAGAAAAAACAAAGTTCAATACTCAAATAAACATATACAAATGATAAGAATTTACTTCAAGTGCATTTTTAGAATTTTCGATTATATTTTGTAGCATATTTGTTGCCGTAATTGATTGTGGTTTATTACCTCCAGAAGATGTTGTTGAAGGTTGATTTCGATTATAAGTTGTTGTTGATGATAACTGCATAGTTGTATTTGTAATTAATGATAGTAGAGATTGTCCTGCTGATGAACCAATACTACTCATACATGAAGATTTACGTCGAGATTCCATTATGCGAGTACTATCCATTAAAAGTAGATTTATTTATTCATCAGTTAAAGACATTCTATAATGTTAACAAAAAAAAAGTACGAATAATAAAAAATGAATATATGTTTACCTATGTTTTGATTCTGAATCTAAATTAAGATCAACTCCAAATGCATTAACTGCTATTAAATCTTCACCAGCATTAAAACCATGTTGTGGAATACTGATCGAAGCTAAAATAATAAGTTTCAATTTGATGTTTTTTCTTTTTTTTTTTTTTTTTTGCAATAGAATTCGAAACATACGTAGACGATAATCACGTCGATGTGGTAGTAGTGGTGAAGAAGTTCGTTCTGATCGTTGTATATCTTGTTGATCATCTTCAGCCATTAAATTCCAAATACAATATGTTAATGTTCTATAGAAAAATATGAAAAAAAAAATTTTCATATTATTCATCAAATTTTTCTTGTTATAGTATTATAATGGTTTTTTTTTTGATATAAAAATTGAAGAAAACTTAATCATAACAAATTCATGTTTGAAATAAAATTCTTTAACATACCTAAATCCATAAATTATTATAATAAATAATAAATGAATACATTTGATTAATAATAAATATAAATTTTGAATCATATCTTTAAATGTCATTTGTCGAAATTGATTATAAGTATTATGAATTGTTGATGGTTGAAGTAAATGAAAAAGATATTTTATACTCAACCATGAATATGATAAAACTAATTTTATAGATTCAGATGTTATTTTATGCGATCTACTTCAAAAGAAAAATAAAAACAATGAATACATTGAAACGTACAGAAAATTCTATATGAAATCGAGTGTATCGTTACAATAAATGGGAGGCAGGATCAAATCTATTCCTTAGATGTTAAACTATAGGAAGGTATTTCGTTTATAAAAAGTGAAAGTACGATTTTAGAAAATGATCTTCTGCTTTAAGAATTTGATTATTTTCAATTATTTTTTAGTAATGAATCGATACGTCAACGAAGTAGAAATGATTCAAATGAAATCGAAATATTCACTGAACGATAGACAAAAAGAAAATCATTTTGAATTATTTCTTATAAATATGGGAGTTGAATGTAGAAATAACCTAAATAAATAGTAGTGCATTGAAAAGACACGTTTTTTTATTTTGTTCAGTTAATTAAGGAAAGATTGATGTTATTATTTTAATTGAAGATTGATTTATTATAAATAGTCAATTGAATAATTTTCAATAGATATTTATAGAATTTATTCTTTTCATTTCTTATATTTTCTGATGATAACAATATCTAATAAGAATTCAATTATTTATTTTGAATAAAAAAAAAAAAAAGATTTCAGTATATAGTTAAACTGTATTCTAATATATTAGATTTAATATTTTTATTGAATTCTACGATTCTTATTCATAGAGAAATAATTTCTACTAATCATCTTCATCATTTTCCAGATAAAGAAAAAAATTAAAATGAATAACTTTATCTTTTTTTCGTTTTTTCTAACTAAGAAATGAAATGTTCGATAAAAGATAACCGATTGATGAGATCGTTAAATGAAGAATATAAGATTTTCTTTTTATGGTTGAAAATAGATGAGCAAGATGCGTGAAAAACAACATATTAATTAAGATATTTATTAAACGATTAAATTATTTCGATTAATCATTTGTGAATAAATATAAATGATTAATCAGAATTTTCAATGATGATAATTATTTTAATTAAAGAGCATAATGATAAAGCAGACGATCGAATAAATTGGAAAGAATATTTTTTGTTAAAATCTAACGGCTAGTGAAAGAAAAGAGGAATCTATTTAAAATATATCATATTATCTTTTATCTTAAAGTAATTCTGGTTGCTTTCCATTATATTATATTGAAAATAAATCTATATATATAAAGAAGAATGTTTGTCTGTCTGTTTGTTTGTTCTTCATGCATTTGGACACGGTACGAGCAAATGCTATGAAACTTTCCAGAAATGGTCTTTACACCTAGGAGAAGGTCGACATGTATTTTTTTCCGAAAAAAAAACGAATCCTACGCATGCTACAGGCAACCTAGAAAACTGACCAATATGATTGCAGCATTCCAAAAAATTTAAATGATTGATAGCGAAGGCGGCCGAAGGCCGTCTGAGCGCTCATATACAACATTTCACATGTTCAATCTATCTATGCCAATCCTGTGCTTGCTACAGGCAATCTAGAAAACTGACCAATAGGATTGCAGCATTCCAAAAAATTAAAATAATTGATAGCGAAGGCGGCCGAAGGCCGTCTGAGCGCTCATCTATATACATAAAGAAATGTGTTTGTGTTTATTTTACTTACAACAATGACGCATGCATTTTTTTCTGACGTTCAAAGATAACGTCTTTGTTCTTTTTCATGACTCAGAAATATGACGTATTAACGGTATCTATATATACTATTTATACAATTTTACTCAATAATCAGCTGTACTACATTCTTGAATACATATGACTTCATTTCTTTGTCATTTGTTGTGTATGATGCCATGTATAACATTCCTCCTCATATATCATATTTTATATCGTCATTGGAATGTTTACGTCATGTTAAATGATGATGATGATATAGAAATATGCTATTGTTTTGCATCTATATAATTAGGTATCTTTTTCTTTTGTTTTTCATTAATAAAACTAAACTCACTATAGTATTTCTTATTCTTCAACGCTTTTAATAAAAACAATATTCTATTCTATCACTGAACATAATTGTCCAAAAACGAGTAAGTGTTCAATATTCCATATAAAAATTATAAGCGTCCAGGTTATCAAATATTTTTCGATCGTGATATCAACAGTAAATTCAAAAGGTAAGATTGCAAATTCATTCTCTTCGGAGCATTTTCTATTTTCTATATTTCTTATTTAGATAAAAATATTACGTGATGCCAGTAAAAAAAAGAGCCTCTTTGGGAAGAAGTACATCAGCTGCAAGAAGAATGGCAGCAACAAGAGCAGCTGAAGATTCTGAAGACACACGCATTCGACTTGATGGTCAACGTGCAAGACAAGCAGCTTCACGAGCAGCGGAAGATTCTGAAGACACACGTACTCGACTTGATGGTCAACGTGCAAGACAAGCAGCTTCAAGAGCAGCTGAATCTCCAGAACGGAGACAAGGTCGACGGGTAGATGATCGAGCTAGACATGCAGCTTCAAGAGCAGCTGAATCTCCAGAACGGAGACAAGGTCGACGGGAAGAAGATCGAGCCAGACATGCAGCTACAAGAGGAGCTGAGGATCCCATACAGAGACGGACTCGAAGTGAAGATCAGCGTAGACGACAAGCAGCCTCAAGAGCAGCGCAATGGACATTTATGGAAGGGGAAGCGTTTCGTTATGATCCAGCCAACAACTATGACAGTCATCCTCAACTTTATATTGGACAAATGAGTGATGTTTGCCCATACTGTAATGCCCTCAAGTGGCATGCAGAAACACGAGGTATGTGCTGCTCTGGTGGTAAAGTAAAGTTACCTGAACTTCAGCCTCCTCCTGAACCACTGAAATCATTAATGTCAGGAACAACGTCTGAATCGAAGCATTTCTTGGATAACATTAGAAAATACAATTCCTGCTTTCAAATGACATCTTTTGGTACGTCAGAGAAAGTGGCTGACCCAGGCTTCATGCCTACTTTCAGAGTTCAGGGTTAAGTATATCATCGCGTAGGATCTCTGCTGCCGCCTTCGAATGAAGAACATAAATTTTTTCAAATTTACTTCATGGGCGACGATCGAAAAGAAGTACAACAACGTTGCAAAAACATGCCTGGCGTACGTCAAGACATTGTCGAGAAACTGCAGCAAATGGTTCATGAGCACCACATTTATGTTGATCTTTTCAAGACTGCCCTTCAAAGAATGCCTACAGATCAATACAAGGTGCTTATTCGAGCAGACATGAAACCTGTTGGAGAGGATGCACGTCGTTTCAATGAGCCAGTGACAAATGAGGTGGCGGTTGTCATCGCTGGCAACGACTTTGAGAAACGAGATATTGTCTTGGAGAAGAAAAATGGTCAGTTACAGAGAGTATCTGAGACACACAGATCGTATGATGCCTTGCAATATCCTCTCATCTTTTGGAAAGGTGAGGATGGCTACCATTTTCTTAT